GCTATAGAGATTCTTATTAAATAGCTTAAGCTACTTTAATACTTTACTAAAGGACTTATAGAGCATCCTTAAGTTTACTTTAGTATAGAAGTAACTCTTAAATATTTATAATAGATAAGATATTTAGGATATTAGTCACTTTTAAAATTACTTTAATATAGGATATTTTAAGTGACCTAGGCTAAAAAGATATAGGTAAGATTTAGAGAGAGGAAAAAAAAATAAAGGGTATAGAATAGATTACTTATATCTAGAGATAACTAATCTCTATAGTATTTATTAGGGCTCTATATAATAAATCCTATATAAGATCCCTATCCTTCTAGTACATTTTCTAAAAATATGCCAGGAGGACAGGGGTCTTATATAGGATTTAGGTATTTAGCTAAGAATAAGGCTAATAATAGCAGTTATATGCACCCTTAGTACTAATTTATAGTCTATAAAAAATATATATTATAGCAGGTGCTGCTCTGGGCCTGGTTTATTTATAAAGCTAGACTTAGAGGCTCTAGAACCTTTAGTCCTATAGCTAAAGTTAGCTTTATATAATACCTATACCACCCCTAAGGCACCCCCTTTACTGTATTTAAAGGAAGCAGAATTGGGCACTTAAACCTAGATATATATATATAATTTATAATAGCTATAGATTAGTTTGGTTCACTATAGCTATTTAGTAGTATTCTTATTATCTAGAAACATTATATTACTAAGCTTTCTATGCTAGCCTAATTTGAGCATGCATAACTATGAAAGAATGAAATATAGTATATTCCTTCTTCTACTCTCTAGTTCTTACTTTTTAACTAGGTAAAGTGGACACCTAAGGACTGTATTTTATTATTATTTTAGCCTTCAGATGAAGGGTATGTAGATGAGAATCCACTAGTAAGTAGTGACTAGAATTTATCTATTCTAATAGAATGGTTGTAACATATACTAATTCTTAAAGGAAATACATAATTAACTCTATCTTTGTTAGATTGATATCCATAGAGCTATAATATTATAAATAGAAATGTTTCCCTACAGTATCCTTGAAGAGTGGCTAGAAGATCATAGTTTAAATATAAATATTAACCTATAATGTCTATATCTCTAGAACCAGATTACTTCAACTCTACACCCCCTCTTGAATATTTCTCTAGCACGCCATTATTATGCACTAGTAAGAACTTGCTATGTAGTATACTTTTAAATAGGACTAATATTTTAAAGTAAAAATAGATAGTAATCTAATACTAATACTAGATATACCATATCTTCTTAAAATAGAAAGCTTTAAGGAGTATATATTAATAATATAGGACTTATAGTCTATTTTAATTATATTCTAAGTTAAATATTTAGATAGCTTAGAAGGTCTAGTTTTTGGAGGCCTAGATATCCCTAGGAAGCTGCTGGCTGGGATGGATCAGCAGAGGTTATATAATAAGATAGAGGCTATAAAAAACCTTATCTAAGAGGAGTATTAGATTAAATAGCTTAAAAGATATAGAGTTAAAAGGCAAAATATATTGCAGCTAAGTAGTTATAAGGAACTTAAATACAGTTAAGGTTTATACTACTATAGATACCAGCTTAGATGCACTAAAAATAGATTAATTAGTGCTTTATAGACAGTCTAATTTATATTATAAGTTATGAATTAATAGTGGGTGTTCTTGCCAGTATAATCTATTAAAAAAAGCAAAATCTCTAAAGATAATTAGGTCTTAACTATCACCCCTTTGAGGTAGATGCATCTCTATAACTACTTTATGATTACCTAGGTCTTCTAAAGTACATAAAATCAGCTTCCCTATATTTACTAGCTTCCTAAAAGCACTTAATCATAGCAAAGAATATTATAACTCTAGAAGACTCTCTACTTGTGTGGGATAATCTAAGTTCTTCCCTTAATATGCTCTTATCTTTTTATTTATGCAGTATTATTATATACTATAGGATCATGATCTATTCCCTCTTTTGGCATGCCATTAGGCATCTTTTCTTGCAGTATTAGGTATGTCCTTAGATATATCCATAGCTTAATGCTTATTCTAACAGGGCAGTGACTTAAATATAGCTATAATTAGTTCTACTAGTGCCTTATTAATAGACCTAAGCTAGGTATAGGTAGGTACTGTATTTGATACTGCCTTTTCCTAAAATAAGCTAAACCTAATAGACCTGGTGTATATAATACTGTAAGTTCTAAGAAGCTAGGCGCCCCACCTTCTTCATTAGGTTGATGCTAGAATATTAATCCTTTTTGTTTCTGTGCTCTTTTCATAGCTAGGAATCTCATTAATGTTGGCTATTTAAGAGCCTCAGTATCTCCCTTTCTAGGTTTTTCTAATACTATGCACCAAAATCCTCTGTTATATGCCTTCTCTAAGCAGCAGAACAGTATCAAGACATGATACCTATTACTTGATTGATAAGCATTTCCTATCCGTTGTCCCAGGCCGTATGTTTGAATCTTACAGAGGTGGAGAGCTTGCGCGCTAACTAGTATGATAGGCCTTCTGAGCGCAGCTATGTGTTGGAACCAATGGTACACCTACCGCAACTGTGGTAACAAGAAAGTGTTTGGGCGTCGGTTCTGTGTCGAACCTGACTGTAGCAAGAACAAGGAGAGAAACCAAGTCCTTGGACAAGATTGCAATGACTGTGATATCTGTAAAAATTGAAAGAGCCATAGTTCAACCAAGCTTGATTCTGCTAAAAAGGGGAATATGAGGAAAGGGGAATGAGAGTCTAATTAGTAATTTAGTATATTTAGATATAAAGACCTAAATACTAATCCTATTTAGGGAATCTAATTAGTTAATCTATAATACTATGGCTATTTCCCTAGCAGGTAGCTGAGCACTAGATATAAGTGGATGCTATATATTAGTATTAATATATATATGGAATAGAACCCATCTAGGTGGATGCTGAAGCAAAGAGAAAGAAACTATAAGTTTTATAAATAATAGTAGAATCCTGGAAGCTCCTACCTGTTAGCATTAAAGAGATACTCTCTAGATATAGAATAGGTGTGATGAAGAATTAAAATAATGCCTAGCTAAGTATCACCTATTTAACACCATATTCCTTAAAGAATATGATATATAGCTACTATCACCTACAAACAGCATGTCTAAGCAGATCAAGCACTAGCAGTAGTTACTTCCTATAGAGGAAGAGGATGTGCACACTACTGCTTTAAAATATTTACTAGGAGAGCCTTGAATTATTCCTGCTTATCTCCTTTAAGGAATGGGTGTAGGAGGCAATAGGAATACCTTTAACTACTATTTAGCTCTTTTAAGATAAATTCTAGTTTCTTAGTTAGATTATATTCTCCTACCTCTGATCTAGACCTAAAGCAGGCCTATAATACCTAGAAGTAATAGTATAGCATTCTTAGAGATTCTACTATCTTCTAATATACTAATTATTAAAGAATATAGATTAGGTTAATCTATTTACTAGAGCTGTAATCTAGAATGTTTATAAGTATATCTATTCTAGATAGTATTCTAAGTATAATTTAGTACTTAATTTCTAATTTATAACTAAGCCCTTATAAACCCTCCTCTACTAGCCTTCACTAGTATAATATATATTATAGTAACTTAATATTCTGGAAGTTTGCTTTAAAAACTGGTACTATTATTCTAATAAGTGGCTAGGACTATTTAATATTAAGATATCTTTTCTTAAAGATATAATCTATAAATTACCTAAATTTTTAGCACTATAGATATTAAAAGAGGATCATCTCTAATTTTAAGAAATTAAGAGTTATCCTCTAGGGGTATTAAATAATAGTAAGCTCTTTTATTCTATAAAATCCTAGTAGATCTATTACTATCATGTAGTTCAAGAATGTATAACTACTAGAGATAAAGTTAAATTAAAGCTTATAAAGCTTATAAAGGTAAGTTAAATAGATCCTTAAGCTAGATTTATACTAACTAAATTAAGAAGGTGCTTAATAAAATACATAATTACTACTTAATAATAGCTACTCTATGAGGTCTTATATTAGGTTATTTTTATTTAGAGAAGCTAGATAGTCTCTATAAAATAATTAATCTATATAATAACTACTAAGGATATAGGAATATAATACTTAATAGTAGATTAGCCCTTTACTTCCTTATTCTAATAGAGTAAGATATATAGTTATATAGGGATTTATCTATGCTAGTACTGATTTTAGGTACTTCTAAAGCTTACTTAGTAGCTCAGGCTTTTATTACAAGCTATTTTAAGTAAGTTAATATAAAAGGAGTACTTTCTATTAATAGGTTCTTTTAGTTATAAGTAATCATAACTATTACTATATTCCTTCTTTCTAGCTCCTCTTGCACTAATAACATGATAACAGACACACTCTCTACAGAGGCGAAAAGAGGTATCTATAACAGATCATTATATTGGACACTACATGATAGATAGGAGAGTGGTGAAGGAAGGAAAAGGAAAGCTAAAAAATATCACTTAATAGAGGAGATGAAGTGAAAAGGAAGTCTCCTGTAATCAATTAAGGAAGGAAATTTTCTGCAGCGGTTGCTAGAAAACCCCAGAGCAGGATGACCAATGGTCATGCCTGTCAACATAGCATACTATTGCAGAAGAGGAAGATCAGGGGAAGCATTTGGTTGGTTGTTTGCTAGAGAACAAGAGAGAAAAAGAGATCCTGGAGAAGATCTCCTGCGGTCAGCTAAGAAACATGTGGCTCTCTCAACGTGCAATCTTCTGAATACGATCTGTGAGTTGGACACTGCTAGCTCCCCTGCCCTTGCAAACAAAAGGTTGCGACTTACGCTGAGTCAAAAGACCAATAATGCGAGGGTAGAGCATCACATATACAGCGAACTCGGAGTGGCGGTATGGGTGAGAACAAACTCTGGACTTCAGGCTATAAATCATCCAGCTCCCCTTCCATCTTCCAATCTCAAATTCACACATTAAGTGCCGACTTTGGCTAGAGAACAATGACCAACTCAACTGCTACCATGCCTGAGATGCTGCCAGCAGCTCTTGAGTCGTTTTTTCCGGGCTTTTCTCTCATTTCCCGGATTCTTTCCTTCTACCTTCACATTGATCTATCCTCATACTCGGTTTACCTCATCCTACTTACCGTTTTACCTCCATTCTTCGGTTTTGTCCTTCCTCGGTTTTTCGACAACCTCCAACAAGTGCTCCTTTGCTTTACCGCGTCCATCGAGATTCCATACCAAGACAGACTACATACCCAGTTTATACGATGGATGTCAACGAATGATTCATTGAGGCGAAGCTCGCGTTGCATTGCCCGAGAAAAAGTTGTCATCACACCCCCCTGGCAATATGAGGAAGACGACGAGGAGGAAAACGAAGATCTCGAAGACCAAGCCTATTTCGAATCGGACAGGGGGGCTTTCTGGCTCTCTCTAAGGAGAAACATAAAGCCAATTCGTTTTACCCCCAGCCAGAGGAAACTTCATTTCTTCCAATATCAAAGATGTATCTTGGCTGTCTATCGCGATCCAGAGGAGTATCACAATAACGTCTGGTTTACGAATGCAGAAGTCATCAGAGTTTACTCCTTTTTCTGGAGCAAAAAGGTACTGCTCAGTCTCTTACAAGAGGTACAGCAAGTCTCAATCGACCGGAAGAAGGAGCGAATTACGATTCATCGCGGCTTCATTCGAAAGGGCACGAGCAGTTGGGTTCCGACTACTTCCAAGGTTCCTCGCCCACTAGCGACATTAGTCTTGCCTCGACAGATCAAGGAACAATTTCTGGAGGATATCGAGACTTTCTTGAGCTCCCAAAACAAAGACTGGTACCAGTCTCGTGGCATTCCATACCGCCGAGGTTACCTTCTCTATGGTCCCCCGGGAACAGGGAAGTCAAGCATGTGCTTCGCAATCGCTGGGCGCCTTTGGCTTGATATCTATACTATCAGCCTGAACTCCCGGAAGCTCGATGAGGATGGTTTGGCTAGCCTCTTCCAAGGTCTTCCGAAACGTTGTATAGTTCTTCTCGAGGACGTGGACACTGCCGGACTCCGCGAGGCGGGTAACTTGTCGCAAGCACCGGCCAATGCTGATGGGCCGGAGAAATCGTTTGAAGACAAGGAGCCCGATGGCGGTGGTATCTCTTTGTCAGCCCTTCTGAATGTTCTTGATGGTGTTGGGGCACATGAAGGCCGCATTCTCATCATGACAACCAACCACCTGGAAAAACTTGATGCGGCCTTAACTCGACCTGGTCGTGTGGACAAAATGTACTACTTGGGCTTTGCGGATACGCCGAGCATCAAGCAGCTCTTCAGCGTGTTCTATGCAGCAACAATCGACGAGGGGTCCACATGTGACCCTTCGAATGAGACTGGCAACGGACCAGCGAATCAGTCGGCAAGGGAGAATCACATCTTATCCGAAAAGTTTGCACACATAGTTTCTTCCGGGCAGTTTACCGCGGCGGAGGTTATTAACTATCTGATGGATTTCAAAGACGATCCTGAAGCGGCAGTTGAAAAAGCCAACGACTGGGTCATGTACAAGAAGGAAGCGGTTATGCCCCGAGACTAATCAACGGTGAACGGCACGGGGCCTACCTTGGCATTCTCGCTGGTATATCATCCTAACCAAGTTGTGGCGGCCTACCTGGACTTCAGATAAGAAAGATATCGGGATTCTCACTGATGTACCTAAGTTCAGCTATTCGTAATCAGTCCTAGAGTGTTTCTCAATTGCTTTTTCTCGGTTTCGTGCTCTACCATTGAGGTACTATTGGTATTGATCGGGGTCACCGGGCTTCGGACTAAGGGCAGGTTGCTTGCTAACGTAGGGAGAGGACTTCATGTATAAGAATGTATTGGAACCAGTACTAGTCCGAGATTGTCTCAAGCCAGGTTGTTGCAAATCTGTGTACGAAAGCCAAGCACTTGAGCAGGACTGCGGTCATTGCACTACCTGTGAAAACCGGCGGAGGAGATATCTGAACATGGATACTCATACTAAGGGACCAGGAGAGCTAGAGGGGATTCAATGGCTCAAACTACTTCGCGATCGCCTCTCCCTTTTAAAACGTATATAATTAGCTACGCTGTCTTTGCCGGAACCCTCAGCATATTCGATGACGACAAGATATATCATGACACAAGAACGCTGGCTGCCCGCATCCAACGATCAAGGTTCTTTTGTTGATATACTTCCATCTTTTTGTTTATACGCAATCATTATCTACTACGTGATCGTTATTTGTGCTCTCTTTTGCCATGCCACTAGGCGTGCCTTTCTTCGAAGCTTTCAGGTATATTCCCAGAGACATTCATAGTACAACGCTTATTGTGTCCGGACAGTGACTTGAAGTACATCAACTAGCCATGATTGGTTCTTCTAGTGGCTCAGTTAACCTACAGTAGGTACTATGTGTGATTGACTGCCAATTTCTGAAATATGCTAAAGCTAATAGGCGTGGTGGATACGATACCACTGGTATCAAAAAGCCAGGCGCCCCATGTCCTCCGCCAAAATAATGCACGCTCCGTTTGCTGTGTCTCCTTTTTTTTTCTCCACAACGCCCAGCGTTTTGTGATTTGCCTTCTTCACCTCTCTGAATAGCTTTAGTCAATACAGAGATTTCTCTCCTTCTGGAAAAGCAGTTATTCTCGTATATTTTAACAGCTCTAGATTATGTCATCCATCAATAGCATTGTTGCTGGTATAGTACATTATTCTGTTCAGTGTAGCAGAGGATGCCAACGCGCATAGGGCCTAAAGATGGGTTCACAGAGAACTCAGAAGCATACTTAGGCATTTTGGCATGTAGCTAGTATTTAGTGATAATGAGGACTGAGATCAATTTGTTAGTCGGATACAGTCATCTTAGGTATCTTTGCCCTAACAAGACCCTCTGCCGACCTGCCCAATTTGCCCGAATCTCGAAGCGCTATGGCGTACACAGTTACCCGCTCTATTAAGTGATCTACGAAGCAGGCGATCCATAAGTCTTAATAGGTCTCCACTCGGACCCCGGTCCTGCTAGACCCTCCAGTCTTCCGCCTGACTCGCTAGTTTGCGACACCAAAACGGATCCTAGGATCTTGAAGCTTGATTGCTGTGTCTCTTTTGTATAGTCAGCTACATGCACGAAGCCCTATTAAGAAGCCTTGAGATCATCGCTACTTCGAACTCTCGAGGTTGTAAACCGTATTTCTTTATAAGCAAGGTTTTCAGCCCTCGTCTTAGAGCTCTGCTCCCTATTTAATCAGACATAATTCCTCCAGCTTCACATCCATGGCATCTCTGCGTCAACTCAATAGCGCGAGGAAACGACAACGAATGTTTCCACGCTCGTCTCGGTCTAGAACACGAATGCGAGCACCACGAACCTTGCGCTTTTCCCGATTATCTGTGAAAACGAAGTTCAACAGGCCGTGCACCCAAAAACTGCGGAAGACTGTCGGCTCCGAGAGACCTAGAGAAGCAGTATCCGGTCATACTCATTGTCCGCGCTCACAGTCACCTATGTCACGCCTTCGTCGCCCTCCTCGACGTCCTCGACGTTTCCTCCAGTACAACGCGCATGCATCGTGGGACGCAATGAAGGCACTACTCGACAATAATCGCCTCTCCTTATATGACTTGATCGCCATCCACGAACCGTGTGGAAAGAGCTCCTTCCTGCTCCCACGGTTCCCTGATCGTGTCAATGAACAATTTGATCGCATATGGGCCGGTACCGGACCACGCGATGAACCGAACATTTGCATTTACGTTCGGAAGTCCCTGAATTGGGGTCTTCTTATCTGTACGAAGAATGTGGTATCGATTTATTTTGTCGGGCCCGTGGCAGATTATCCGTCCCAGAGAGTCGCCTACTTTATTCACAACGTGTACGATGCTCCACCTTCAGCAAACGGGTACCCCGAGTCTACACTCCGAAAAGCGTTCGATCGGGCGAATGAGATGTGTTTCGAGGTGAAACATCATTTCGTCTTCGGCAGTTTCCACCCTTGTGGACTGGCTTGCGATGGCCAATGCTCAAACCCCAAGTTCCCAGGGCTTCAGCATACACTCGATAAGAGAGGGTGTCCCTGTGTCGGATGATCATTGTATTCTCTTCCATTCCATCCCGTTCCGTTCAGTTCCGTTCTGTTCAATTATCGGCGGCCAAGGGTCATTTTTCCGGATCTTAGTATCTGCTCAAATAAGTCTGCTGAATAAGAAACACATTAGATAACTAAGTTAACTAATGCTCTGTTAAAACAACCCCAGCTCTTGCTATCATCTTCAATGATGAGGAACGCTAAAAAAACAGTAATGGCATGCAGAGAATTTGCTGCCCAACATGGCAGCTCATGTGAGAGGGGTAGTTCTAACCCCACATGATTTTCTTTCAGCGATGTACCCAACGACCAATTTATTGATGATTCTAACTATGGTGATTGAAGCAAGTATATCCAAATTCTCTGCAACTAAATTACTTACTGACCGATGCCTTTTTTTTAAGTCATACATCACATTGTCAAAGGAGTCATTTTCCCAGATTTGCCATGCGTCATATCATCTTAACAATGCCTACAGACAAGTTCCATTAGAAAATAAGTATAAACTCTGATGATTATGCTGAGTTACTGGATAAGGCTAAGAAGGTCTGCTTAATCTATCTACTCTGCTCAAATATTCCTGCTGATTTTAGCTAAATATAGTTAGATACCAGACTCTAGGAATTATAAGTTGAGATTAATAATAGTTAGATAGCATATATAGTAAGGATGATTAAAGAATATATAACTAATTAATTAATTATCTTTTATCTATTAAGAGATAAAAGGCTACTTAGGTATATAAAAGTATATAGAGCTAGGAGCACTATAAAGCTCTAGGATAAATCTAATATAGATAGAATATTTATTAGTAAAATTCCTAAGGGATATCTATTTAAAGTAATATTAGTAGAGATTAAGCTAATTATATTTAAGGGGGCCTAGAGTTAAATATTACTAGTATCCTATACTTATAGCTTGCTTTAAGTGCCTTAGTATAAGGGATTAATAGAATAAGTAATATAATATAGTCTTATATAGGGATAGTAAGTATAGCTAAGTAAGGGTAAGAGATTAATAATTCCTTATATAACTAGTAGAAATCATCTAAAATAGCAGGAGGCATAAGAAAGGCTATTTTAATAGGCTGCTAGGCCCTAGAAAATTTTATAGCACTCTTATCTCTCCCTTTATTATACTCTTATTAAGATTTGATTCTGTTATATATAATTAATAAGAATTTATTATTTAGATACTGCTAGATCTTAATATTATCTTAGGTTTTACTATAGAGGCTTATTTCTCCTTACTTCTTATTATTAATATACATCTCTAGAGTAGGCTGGCCGTTGGGAAGGGAAGGGAATTCCCATGGGAGTCCTATGGCTAGTTCCCTTCCCTTTTTACCCTTAGTAGTGGGAATCCCATCCCAACCCCTTAGATAAATGGGATTCCCATTTCCCTATCCCTTAGATATATGGGATTCCCTAATTAATATGGGAATCCCATATTAATTTCCCATCCCATTCCTACTAAAGGATTAGGGATCCCATCCCATCTAGATAAGAATGGGAAATCCCATGGGAATCCCAAACTATCCCAAACCTTAAATTATGGGGTAAAAATAGGGTAGAATAGATAATATAGCCCTAAAAATAGGCTATATTAGGGGTATATTATCTATTTTACCCCACTTTTACCCCATATATTAAGATTTAGGATTCCCATGGGATTTCCCTTCCCATTCTAATATTACCCTATAGGAATCCCATCCTAATCCCTTAGATAATTAGGATTCCCATTTCCCTATCCCTTAGATATATGGGATTCCCTAATTAATATGGGAATCCCATATTAATTTCCCATCCCATCTAGATAAGAATGGGAAATCCCATGGGAATCCCAAAATAGGATGGGAAATTAATATGGGATACCCATTTCCCAATGGGAAGGGATTTCCCATGGGATTTCCCTTCCCTACGGCCAGCCTACTCTAGAGTAGTATCTTTATTTTAATTAAAGTTAGTTTTACATCTATATATTCTTAAGAGTATCTCTTACCCCTTATGCTAGGTGTCTAGCATAGAGATATGTCCACAGGGGTTAGAGTTGCATAACCGAACCGCAAAAATCGAATCCAACCCTCACCGAACCCGCAGTGGGTTGGGCTCAGGGCCTAGCCTAGGGAATTACTTTGGGTTTAAGTTCCCTACCCCAGGCCTGATTCGGGTTCGGTGAAAACCATTGGTTTTGATTTCTGCAGTTTTTACGGATTAGGTGAAACCGCCTAATCCATTTTAGATAGAAATCACTAATTTCTAGTATTTCACTAATAATTTTGATATCACTAGATAGCCCCTGATCTAGGCTATCTAGTGATATAAATATTAATTTAAAATACCTAGTGGTTGCTAAGATATAGAGGAATAATCATTTTCGTCATGGGGTGGTATGAAAGTGGTGTGGATATATATATATATATAACTAATGGTTAATAACTACTATGGTTTAAAAATGATTTTTTAACCACTCCCCATTCAGCCCTATAGATATTAAATTAAAATTTTAGATATAGATTAGTATGATGATAATTATGATATATTTCATATAAAAATGATAATTTTTGATTAGCATAGTGATATTATGATAGATAATATGGCATTCAATGAGGCATTGAAATTCAAAAACTATCAAAATTCACCAAGGGGTAGTGGTTTAACCAACTTAAAATTGAACTGAATCTAACCATGGTTAGTTAGTAGGGGCCTAGCTAGGCCTAGCTAGGCCTAGTGGCGGGTTTTTGCGGTGAAACTGCCACCAACCTGGATCAGATCTGGATTAGCTGTAGGTTCTAAAATTTGAACTTAAAATTATAGTGGTTCAGTGCTAACTGGTTTTAAACTCACCTGAACTCACACCAAATGCAACTCTAACAGGGGTATTTCTTAAAGGATTAGTATCTTTATTAGAGTTGTATTTAGTGTAAGTTTAGGTAAGTTTAAAACTAGTTAGCACTAAACCACTGTGATTTCAAGTTTAAATTTTAGAACCTACAGCCAACCTGGATCTAATCTGGGTTGGTGGTGGTTTCACCACAAAAACCTGCTACTAGGCCTAGCTAGGCCTAGCTAGGCCCCTACTAACTAACCATGGTTAGATTCAGTTCAATTTTGAGTTGGTTAAACTGCTACCCCTTAGTGAAATTTAATGGTTTTTGAATTTTAAAATCATTTAATGCTATACTATCTATCATACTATCTATCACCCCTATTAAATATATGAAATATATCATAATTATCATCATACTAATCTATATCTAAAATATCGATTCAATATCTAGGGGGTTGAATAGGGGGTGGTTAAAAAATCATTTTTAAACCATAATGATTATTAACTATTGTGATATCAAACAGCATGTATATGACTTTAGGGAAGTCTATCAGATGTGTAATAATATCTAGTGATTATTATTACTATTTATATAGTTAGTTAGACCTTATATTCCTTCCTAGCTTAGGTCAAAATATAAAAGAAGACTGGAATCCCTTAAAGTTAATAAGATATATATAAGGTAGCTACTAGCCTACCCCCTATTCTTATACTCTTTAAAGACTCTACATCCTTAACATCTATAAATATCCTATCTAGTAGTATATCTAGATTAAGTAAATATATAATACTTAATTCCTAGGAAGGTTTAAAACCCCTTATAAAGAATTAATCTAAACTATAGTAGCCTTAGTCTACTAACCCTTAGAAATATTATTAATAATTTAACTTTAATAAAATTACTTATATTAATTATTCTTAATTTAATAGAAAATATCTTAGATTAATAGTTTTAACCTCCTTAGACTAATTAAGATACCTAAAAGGATAATAATTTACTATAAGGATATCCTTATTAACTCTTCCCTATAGTAATATTATAAGTTATAGATATTATAGGCTATTAGAGTCTTTTAAAATAGTAATAGATATAGGATTAATAATTTAACCTTAAAGAAAGATAAATTTAGAGTTATTAAAGTTATTTTAATAAGTTTAAACTAATATTAATAATTATTAAATCTAACTTCTACTCTTAATTAGATATTATTCTTTACTTAATAAAATAGATAATATTAAATCTATATCTTCTAGTATAAAGACCTCTTAAACCTAGGCTACTAATTATAGTAATAGTATTAAAATAAAATATCTTTAACTCTAATAGTAGTTTACTCTTACTATCTAGGGTATAAATAAAGATATCTAGGCTAAACTAATCTAGCTATATAAGTAGTTAGTTAAACTTCTCTAAGACTAGTATAACTATCTAGATTATATTAATATAGATAAAGCTATAGAAGCTATAAATACTACTTCTAATTCTATAGTTCTCTTTACTATTCTTCCTAAAGCACTTAAGCTATATTAGAAGATTTCTAATCTTAAATTAATCTCTATATATAATAATAAGTATAGTAAGGATGCTATAATAAAGTAGCTCTAGTAGATTAATAAATACTTTTATAATAAGTAAACTCTTACTTAGAAAGAAGCTACTAAACTTAAAAAGATTATAATAATTAAGTATTATCTTATAGGCTAGACTAAAGAGTAGTAGGATATTTATAAGTAGAAGGCTAAATATAATTTAATAGCTACTATAACTATCTTAGATATTTTTAAATAGTAGATCTAAGACTATTTTAGAGAGATTAGAGAAGAGAATAAATATTAGGAAGAGTATAAGAGATATACTTAAGGAAATTAAACTATATAATCCTATATTACTTTTCTAATTAAAGCTACTAAATATATTAAATCTAGAATTCCTAATAATATATTAATCTAAAAGTTTATTATTAATTTAAAGCTAGTTCTATATATTTACTAGGTAGAAGATTATAATAAACTAACTACTTTTAATAATATAGTTTATTATTTTACTAAGTATAAATAGGGAGTGGCCCTATATACTTAAGTCTAGCTTTAATTCTTTAGAGAAATTAATAATTATTAAATAGATCTAATAGATATTAATTTAAATGCCATTACTATATCTCCTAACTAACT